GGCGCTCGCGGCGCGGGGGCTGCGAGAATTGAGAGCCAAGGGGGGAGAGGGCGGGAGAGGGCGCGGGCGGCCGCGGTTCCCTTGCGAGGCCCCTCGTCCCGGTTGTCCAGGGCGCGCTTGGCGGCTCGGAGGAGGACTACGCGAAGCGGGTGCTGCTGCTCTTCCGCCGCGCCCTTCCTCGCCGACCTCTGCAAGTTCGGCAAGTCAGACTGGCGCCGCGCCCTCCGACGGCGGCTGATTCTCCGAGGCTTCCCGACCGAAGAGGTCAAGCAGTTTGCGCTGAACTTTTGCTTCGTCTGGGAGCTCCGGCCGGAACAGCACTTGCAAGAGAACAGCAACAACGAGGTCCAGGACGAGGGCGTGCGCTTCGACAAGGCGGACTTGGAGGCGGCTCGGGCCACGCACGTCCGCGGCGCGGGCGGGCTGGGCTCCGAAAACTTTGACGAACAAGACAGCGAGCAGGAGGACGAGGCCGCGGCGACGCGGCTGTGCGTCATGACCAAGCAGATGTTCGACTTGCCCCGGGCCGCGTGGAGGAAGAGCGGGGCCGACGCCTCGCCCGGCCAAGGCGCGCCAGCGCAAAACGAGCAGCTCGACCACAACGCGCTCGCCTGGGCCGGTCTGCTGCTAAATCCCACTGCGAGCGCTCCTTCCGAACAGGCCAGCGGGATTCACCTTCACGGTCCTCTTGAGAGCCTTTGGCAAAGGCAGCCACGTCAGGGGCGTCCGGCAGCTGCGCCAACGCCCGCCTTTCCCAGCCCAGGCACTCTGGGCCGTCCAGCCAGAAGAGGACGTGCAAGTGCGGCCGGCCGCTGCCGTGATACCGTTGCGCGCCCACCTTCTTGCTGCCATCCTGGAACCCCAGACGCGTGAAGAAGTGGAAACAGCCAGCGGCCGCGCCCTCCACACCCATGCCTTGCAGCAGATAGTGCGACCACTTCGCTTTCTCCCCGCCATGAAGCCGCGAACCGCCTCCAACATGCAGTGCGTGATATGGAGTGTCTCGTGCGCGGGAGCGCCGTAGCGAGCGCGCAGCTGCTTGCGGAGCTCGTCCAGCAAGAACTCGCTGTAGGGGAAGCTGAGTTCCCAAGGCGCGAAAGCCCAGTAGAGCTGCGGCGGGCTCTGCCGGACCAGGTCTTGGAGCCCAGCACAGCGCGCCAGTACAGCGGCGACATCGGGCGCTGTGCCATCATCAGTCGCATCTTGTGGCCTTGTTGCTCTGCCATGTTCCTTTTAGCTCCGAGCTCGCTCCAAAGCTGCAAATCGTAGACGAACTGCAGGAGAGCAAAGTTGGACCCGTAGCCCAGCAGCGGGCTCATCAGCTTTGTGCGGAAGCTGCGCTTCACGCTGTGGCGCTGCCCGTCCGCACCTTCCACGCCCTCAAGCTCTGCCCCATCGTGCTCCCGCCCAAGGCGGCGCTGGTCCGTGTAGCGCTCGTGCGTCTCGCATATGGACGTTCTCACTCCAACCCCAGCTCTTCGATGAAGCGCAAGGGGCGCTTGACTGCAGCCTCTGACGGTTGAGGAACTCCTCGTGCTCCGCATGGAACTTGCGGTAGGCGTTGTCTCCGTCGCGCAGCAGGTGCTTCAGCGCTGCCTTGGCGCGCCGCCGCTCGCCCCGCTCAGGCAACTCCGCAATCCTCTGCTTGGCCGTCTTGGTCGCCCATGAGAACTGGATCACGCGGACATGCTTCCGATAGCCATTGTTGGCACGGCTCTCCAACCCAAGGTCAAAGTCCAGCAGGCGCAGCGCTGCAATGGCGGCCTCGCTCAAACCTTTGCAAAGGCTTGCAGCCCTTGCAGGCCGAGGGCCGGATGGCAGCGGCGTGCTCCTCTTCTTCAAAGGATGTGGAAGTCAAGGGCCGGGCCTGCAAGATGTTGCAGTTGGGGCACATGCCCCACGCCCCGCGCAGACACCACTTCTGCAGGGCGATTGACTCTCGGGAGTGAGTGGCTGGCTGCTGGCAAGTCGGGGGCGTTGTCCGCTTCCGCCCCTGCCGCAATCTCTGCTTGCGTGGCCCTGGGGCGTCGCGGAGCCTTGGGATAGAACTTCTTCTTGCCCAGCCGCTGCTCGGCCACCGCCTTTGCCCGGTAGGCCTGCCAGGCTGCGTGGGTCGGCGCAGGCCCGTTAGTCTTCCGCTTTGCCAGCGCCGGGGTGAAGGAAGCTTGGGCTGCGCTCAGACGCTCCTCTCGGGCCGCCGCCCTTGTCTGCGTCGGCGGGGCCCTTGGGGCCGCTGACTTGGCGCGCAGTTCTTCAGCCTCCTCCGCTCCCAGCCACAAAGCCAGCCGGTCGCAAGCAGCCTCGAAGATGTCCGGGTTGCGCTCGTGGGCCTGCAGCGCCTTGAGCACGCGAGTCAAGTTTCCGCGCCCTCCCGGACTGGTGTGGCTTTGTGTCAGAAGCGTCTTGCTGCACAGCAAGCACCTTTGTTCGCCCCGCGCCCCCCGACTGGGCTGCCCAGCTTCTTTGGTGTGGAAGGCCCTTGCAAAAATTCGTCTTGCCTCGTCGCCCAGCCGGCACCTTCCGCGCGGCTAGCTTCTTCCTGGCGCTCGCCTCCTCCTGCAGCTTCCACTCCGCGATGGTCAGCTCCGCTCGGCCTGGCCGCTGATAAACTCCTTATACGGGCGGCCTCCAAGATCCCCCCGCTTTGCGTCGCTCGGAAACTTGTTTCGGGAAGCCCGACGGGCCAGCCCCCAGCGCCAAAATAACGGAGCGTGCGCGAGCGACGGCGCGGGTTTGCCATGGCTGTCGCGGAAGCTTCGCCCGGAAGATTGTTTCGGGAAGCCCGACGGGCCAGCCCGTAGCGCCAAAATAACGGAGCGCGCGCGTGCGACGGCGCGGGTTTGCCATGGCTGTCGGCGTCCAAGATCCCCCCGCTTTGCATCGCTCGGAAACCCACCCCCCAGCGCCAAAACGTCGGAAGCGAGCGCGAGGGAGGCTGTCGCAGAAGCTTTGGCCGTCGCCCGGAAAATTGTTTCGGGAAGCCCGACGGGCCAGCCCCCAGCGCCAAAATAACTGAGCGCGCGCGTGCGACGGCGCGGGTTTGCCATGGCTGTCGCGGAAGCTTCGGCCGTCGCCCGGAAAGTTGTTTCGAGAAGCCCGACGGGCCAGCTCCCAGCGTCAAAATTACGGAAGCGAGCGCGCGTCGCGGAAGCTTCGGCCGTCGCCCAGAAAGTTTTCTTGGGAAGCCCGACGGGCCTGACCCCAGCGTCAAAACGACGGGAACGAGCTTTCGGGCAGCCCGACGGGCCAGACCCAAGCCCAAACCCTCGACGATTCTTCGCATCGCGAAAAATGGCACGCGACGCGCCCGGGCCGGGTTTCTGCGAACCCTAAACCCTAAAAGGTTTTAGATGCGGTCAAGGGGTGGGGATGCCGCTTTCGCCCGACCCCCAGGGTCGAGGGCGCGCTTCATCTTGGAAACCCTACACTCAAGGCCGAGCGCCGTACCGCAAGCGCTCGGCCGCAGCAGCTGCATTGGTGCTGGCGCAGAGCGAGTCCGGCATGGCGAGCGGAAGCGCCCCAAGTTGCGTTCCTCTGCAACGAGCGCGGTTTGGAGCTGTCGCTCCCGCTGCCAGCGCCAGCTGGCCTTAGAATGAGTAACCCCAAACCTTCAACGAGTCGCAGCATCCTCCTTATGAACTTTATCAAGGCTCCTTATACGAAGCTTTAGAAGAAGCTTTATAAGAAGCTTTAGAAGAAGCTTTGTAAGAAGCTTGAAAAGAAGCTTTATAAGAAGCTTTAGAAGAAGAAGAAGCTGCACAAGAAGCTTGCTTTCGAAGCTGTCCGCTCGCTTTGCCAGCTCTGGCTAAAAATAGCTCGACTTGGCCGTTGATAAACTGCTTGCGCGGGGCAATATGAAATCCGCCCATCCGCAGCCCGAATCTTTAGAGATGTGGCCGGTTCTGGTTGATAAAACGGCCATCGCGGCCACTGGCCTGGTCCTTGGCCTTTATAAAGCGGCCGCTGCGGCTGGCCGGTCTGATAAAGCGAACACTCGCTTCGCCAGCTTTTTCTAAAAATGGCTCGACCTGGCCGTTGATAAACTGTTTGTGCGGGGACAATAGGAAATCGGCAATCCGCAGCCCAAATCCAGAGATTTGGCCATGTGGCCGCTCCTAGTTGATAAAACGGCCATTGCGGCTATTGGCCTAGTCCTCGGCTGGCTGGTCTGAAAAAGCGAACACTCGCTTCGCCAGCTCTTTCTAAAAATGGCTCGACCTGGCCGTTGATAAACTGCTTGTGCGGGACAATAGGAAATCGGCTATCCGCAACCAAAATCCAGAGATCTGGCCATGTGGCCGCTTCTTGGTGATAAAACGGCCATTGCGGCCACTGGCCTGGCCTTGAGGCTGTATTGAGGCTGGCCGGCCTTGATAAAACGGCTATCGTCTTTAATAAAACGGCCACCAGTCGCTTTGCCAGCCCCTTATACGTGGCAATATGAAATCAACCATCCGCAACCCGAATCTAATGGAAGCCGTTTGGCCGCTTCTGATTGATAAAACGGCCATTGCGGCCACTGGCCTGGTCCTCGACCTTGGTGAAGCGGCCATTGTTGATAAAACTTGATAAAACGGCAATCGGCTTTGATAAAACGGCCACTGCGGCTGGCGGGCCTTGATAAAATTGCCATTCGCTTTGCCAGCCCTTCCTAAAAATTGCTCGGCTTGGCCGCTCATAAACTGCTTGTGCGGGACAATAGGAAATCGGCCATCCGCGCCCCGAATCCAGAGATCTGGCCACGCGGCCTCTTCTTGGTGATAAAACGGTTATTGCGGCCACTGGCCTGGCCTTGATATCGCGGCCGCTGTTACAAAACTGCTATTGAGGCTGGCTTTGATAAAACGGCCATCGGCTTTGATAAAACGGCCACTGCGGCTGGCCTTGATAAAACGGCAAATCGCTTTGCCAGCCCTTGATAAAACTGGCTCGGCTTGGCCGCTGATAAACTCCTTATACGTGGCAATATGAAATCGGCCATCCGCAGCCCGGATCTAAGAGATCTGGCCATTTGGCCGCTTCCAAGCCCGAAGCTAGAGATCTGGCCATTTCCACTGGCCTGGCCCTCACCCTTGATAATCTGGGCCCGTGTTGCGACATAGGCTTTGGGCCGCATATGCAACTTTGCATCGCTCGGAAATTTGTTTCGGGAAGCCCGTCGGGCCAGCCCCCCAGCGCCAAAATAACGGAGCGTGCGCGAGCGACGGCGCGGGTTTGCCATGGCTGTCGCGGAAGCCTCGCCCGGAAAATTGTTTCGGGAAGCCCGATGGGCCAGACCCCAGCGCCAAAATAACGGAGCGCGCGCGTGCGACGGCGCGGGTTTGCCATGGCTGTCGCGGAAGCTTCGGCCGTCGGGGAAGCCCGACGGGCCAGCTCCCAGCGCCAAAATTACGGAAGCAAGCGCGAGCGACGCGCCCCCTCCGAGGCTGTCGCGGACGGCCGTCGCCCAGACAGTTTTCTCGGGAAGCTCGACGGGCCCGACCCCAGCGTCAAAACGACGGGAACGAGCTTTCGGGCAGCCCGACGGGCCAGACCCAAGCCCAAACCTTCGACGATTCTTCACATCGCAAAAAATGGCACGCGACGCGCCCGGGCCGGGTTTCTGCGAACCCTAAACCCTAAAAGGTTTTAGATGTGGGTGGTCAAGGGGCGGGGATGCCGCTTTCGCCGCGCGCCCCCACGACCCCCAGGGTCGAGGGCGCGCTTCCTCTTGGAAACCCTAAACCCTAAATCTTAAACCCTAAACCCTAAACGCTCGAGGTCAAGCCGAGACGCCGGGCCTGCTAGGGTCAAGCCTAGCAGGACAACCGCTGCGCAGCTCTGCAAGTGGCACGACGACCCACACCCTCTGGCGCAGCCAGTTTTGGATTACCCTAAACCGTGCACCATTTGCATGTGGGGGTGGTTTCGTGCACTGCTGATAACTTTTGCATACGGGTAATAGCGGGGACCTGCCCCGGCTGGGGGGGGCAAGGACTTTTTGTAGGTCGCTTCTTGCACTGCTGATAACTTTTGCATACGGGTAATAGCGGGGACTTGCCCCGGCTGGGGGGACACGCCAAGCACAAGGAGCCTTGCAGATCCTTTCTTGCGCTGCTGATAACTTTTGCATACGGGTAATATGGGGGACCTGCCCCGGCTGGGGGGGGGGTGTACGCCAAGTACAAGGAGCCTTGTGGATGTTCTTGCACGCCAAGCACAAGGACCCTCGTTGATCTCGCGGCGAAGCGTGCGCGCAGGTCACCCCCACGCAAGCGCAGCGCCTGACACGCTCAGTTCTGCGGCTCGCTTGCAGACACATCAACGCGCGCTGGCAGCCGGTCTTGGCGCCTTGGCAACTCCACGCTTTGCAGCATGACCCACGCCTGCGCAGGAAAAGGTTGGCGAAGCAAGCAGCTGGCGGCCACCTTGTGGACGCTGAGGATACATGGCACTTGCCGCCGCAGCCCACGCCCAAAACGCAGCGTGCGACGCGCTCGTCTGGAACCCGCCCCACGGATCAGGTAGACGGCGTCTACGCGGCGCTTGGCGGCCGGCGCAAGTTTGGGCAACTCCACGCACTCTGTCGTCCGCCTTGTGGACGCTGAGGATTATGTAGACGCCGTCTACATGGTACTTGCCGCCGCAGTTCGTACTCATGCCAGCGCAGCGCTTTGCGAGGCAGGCAGCTGGCAGCCCAGCTGCTTCAGACGGCGCCACGTTGGCTTGGAACCCGTTCAAGGGTTCCACCTCGAATGGAACCCTAAACCCTACAAGTCTTTACCTTGGGTGGCTGGGGCGGGCAAACTTGGCTACGCAAGGCGAGCGGCTTGGGGGATTTTATCCCCGAGCGAGCAACCACATCTGCACACCCTAAACCCTAAACTTAAAGCGCGCGCCTGGCGCGCGCCCCGCAGGCCTCCTGCCGGACAGCGCGCGGAGGGGAGCTTTGCCTCGCAGAAGCTCCCCGAGCTCCGCACCCTCGTGGGCCCGCTCGCCTCGCTGGGCACTATTAGTATAAGTGTTACCCTTATCTCCCGGACCGAGACTCTGAAGGGGCACCTCTAAGGCCCGCCTTGGCTTGATAAAACGGCCATTGGCCTTGATAAAATGGCCATTGCTTTTATAAAACGGTCATTGGCTTCATAAAACGGCCATTGCCGCCTTGACAAAGTGGCCGCTGGGGCTGGCTTTGATAAAAAACAAATAGCTCGGCCGGCTGCTGATAAATTCTTTATACGGGATTCTGCGAAACTGGCCATCTGTAGCCCAAATTTGAAGATCTGGCCATTCGGCCGCTTCTAGCCGCAAATCCTTGATACAACGGGCATTGAGGCTGGCCGCCTTAAACGGCCATCGGCCTTGATAAAATGGCCATCGGGCTTGGCCAGCCTTGACTGGGGCCGGCCGCCTTGATGACGTGGCCACTGGGTAGTGGCCGCTGGGGCTGGCTTTGATAAAAAAAAAAAAAGCTCGGCCTGCTGATAAATTCTTTATACGGGATTCTGTGAAGCCCAAATTTGAAGATCTGGCCACTCGGCCGCTTCTGGCCGCAAATCCTTGATAAAACGGGCATTGAGGAAACGGCCATCGGCCTTGATAAAATGGCCATCGGGCTTGGCCAGCCTTGATTAAACGGCCACTGGGGCCGGCCGCCTTGATGCAGTGGCCACTGGGTCTTGTTTTCTTCGACGGTCTTTGCTTGGTTTGGGCGTTGAATTTATGGGAATCCCCTTAGGCAGCGCCTTGCGTTTTAGCTTGATTGATTGTCGAGGCAGTCGATTGTCGAGCCTTAGGCAGCGCCTTGCGTTTTGGTTTGATTGGACGGTTTTTGCTGGGTTTGGGCATCGCATGCGTCGGACTCCCCTTAGCAGCGCCTTAGGCAGCGCCTTGCGTTCTGGCTTCATTGGTTGTCGAGGCAGTGTTGTTTTCTGCGACTGTCTTTGCCTGGCCCGACTTTATCGGAGTCCCCTTAGGCAGCGCCTTGCGTTCTGGTGCAATTTTGTTTTCTGCAACGGTCTTTGCTTGGTCGGGGCATCGACTTTCTCGGAATCCCCTTAGGCAGCGCCTTGCGTTCTGGCTTCATTGATCGTCAAGGCAGTCTTGTTTTCCGACTGTCTTTTCCTGGCCCGGGCATCGAATTCGTCGAAATCCCCTTGTCTGGCGCCTTGCGTTCTGGCTTAATTGATTGTCGAGGCAGTCCAGTCTTCTGCGACGGTTTTTGCTTGGTCTGGGCGGGCGTCCAATTTATCGGAGTCCCCTTGGGCAGCGCTTTGCGTTCTGGCTTACTTGATTGTTGAGGCGATCTCGTTTTCTGCGACGGTCTTCGCTTGGTTTGGGCGTCGAATTTATCGGAATTCCCTTGGGCAGCGCCTTGCGTTCTGGCTTAATTGATTGTCGAGGCGATCTCGTTTTCTACGACGGTCTTTGCTTGGTCTGGGCCGGAATCCCCCTGGCTAGCGCCTTGCGTTCTGGCCTCATTGATTGTCGAGGCAATCTCGTTTTCTGCGACTGTCTTTGCCTAGCCCGCCTTGGCTGCGCCGGGGGGCCTTAGAGGTGTCTCCTGGCGCTGGGGGGGCTTAAAGGGGCTTACTCTATGATGGGGCACTACCTTTTCGCGCGTTTCTTTGCCGGGGGATCGAGAGGTTTTTTTTCCTTTTTGGGGGTCGCTCGAGGACACATGTTCGCGCCGCGTTCTGTCTGAAATAAAATCCGTGTCGCAGCCATTTTCTGGTTCTTGGCAGCTTCTGGTGGGTTTCGCCTCAGCGTCGCCATGGGCCCCGAGTTCTCGGTGCCTCCTGCGATCCTGGCTGTCATGGAGCGCTGGGCGCGCTTGCAGCCGCTGGCTGCGCTGCCCGTGGCCGTGTGGAAGCGGCTGGATCTGGCCAGCCTCTACAAGCTTCTGCTGGCAGAATGTTCGTCCCGGGACCGCAAAGCTCTGTCCGCGCCTTGCCGTGGAGAGCTACGACCTGGCGGACGGGTCGAGGCAATTGACCCGTGACCCGGGCGACGTTCTGTGGGCCGACGACTGCCTCGAGCTCACCCTTGGGGCGGCTGCAGCGCTGCTGGACGTCGACCCGCGGGCCCGCCGGCGTCCCAAGAGTTGCTCCAGTGCCTGCACTGCGCGCGGCTCCTGCTGGAAGATCTGGCGCGGACGTCCGAAGAGCTGCGTCTCTGGGGGCGCCCGGCAAGAGCCAGCTTGGCGCTGCGGGAGGATGGCGTGGAAGTCCTGGAGGTACGCGACCTGGACGGGAGCCGCGAGCGCGCTGTTCGGCCACTCCTGCGACTAGGAGCAGCGCGATCTTCGTGCGCCGCTTGCTTCGGCCCGCAAGACGTTGAGCTTGCGCCCCAGCTTGTACGGCCGCGAAAGTTAAAAAAACGGTCCTCAGGCTCCGGCTCGACTTCCGGGCCGCCGCCGTATAGGCGGGGTCTCTGCCACGCCGGACCACGGGCGAAGACGCGCAGTCCGAAGGAAGTCCTCGTGGCATTTGGTCGCCTGCGGCGCCGGCGCAACTCTTCGACAAGACTTATCCATAGACACTGTCAAGGGTTTGCGCCCCCCGCGCAGACGCGAAGGATAAAAGCTTTCGACAAGAGGGAAAAAACATCTTTTGCGACTTCGCCTCGGGCGAGCTGCTTGGTCGAAGGGAGCGCTCCGTGGAGCTATTCTGTGAAGAGCTAGAAAGGAGGCAAAGTTAGCCAGGTGACAGGGTTAGCCAAACTCCGTGAAAGGAAGCAGGGGCTAGCCAGGGTTCGTGGCGCCATTCTATGAAGAGCTAGCAGGGAAGCAAGGCTAGCCAGGGAACGTGGTGGTCTTCCATGAAGAGCGGGGAAAAAAAAGCAGGGCTAGCCTTGCAGCGCATTCTATGAAGAGCAAGACAGGGCTAGCCAGGGAGCGCTCCGTGGCGCTATTCTATGAAGAGCTAGAAAGGAAGCGGGGCTTCCTAAAAACGATTTTAATTTTTCGGCAGCGCGAGCACGTGCGCAACTTTCTCTTTCGGGCGGTCGCCCTTCTGTCTCCGTAAGAAAACACAACGGCGAAGAGAGCGAGCCAGAATTGTAAGCCTGCCCGGCGTCTGAGGGCAAACCCTAAACCCGTTAAAAGGTGCAAGTTTGGGTGGCTGGGGAGGGCTGCCCAATACAGAACGGCGCGCCTCCCCTTCCACTCCATGGGGGAAGGCGCTGCCGTGGCGCTGAATCACACCCTAAACCCTAAACCCTAAACCCTAAACCCTAAACTACAAATTTCCAAACCAAGATTTCTCCTCCAAGGAAAATCACGTCTGGCACTGCACACAACTTTGAGCACAACCAAGATTTCTCCGGCAAGGAAAATCAAGTTGGGCGCAAACACTCAAAACACCTTTATATCAAGATATCTATTCAAGATAGTCTCACACTTTCAAGATATATCAAGATATGGTATTTATCACTCTCTGAATCTTTTCCTGCGGTCTGTGCTGGTGCACACACTCCTAGGCTGGGCACACTGGCAAATCCTCGTGGTGACGCATGCTGTACACACGATGGTAATGGCCTGAATGACCATGACTGCAATGATTGCCTGACACAATGGATCACACACAAAGCTATCCATGGCGCCTCCGGGAAAACCAAGTGCTTGAATCTAGTACCTCTCAAAGGCATCTCTTCCCAGACACTTGGCAAGTGCGTCCGCTGGCAAGTCGTGTGTGGACACCCACCCAACAGACACAATTTCACGCTTGGCCAAATTTTGGACAAACGTCACAGCCAAGCTAATGTGTCTCACTTTGCGATTAAGTCCATTCCCTCTGGTGAGCGCCAATGCAGGTGCGCTATCTGTCCTGATTTCAAGAGGCGGATGCTGCGCTGATCCAACACAGTCACACTCGATGCTCAAGAAGTCACTGGTGCTTCGGACATGCTCTGTTTCAAGGCAATGGGACAAAAACAGAACCAAGTTACGAATTCCTAGTCCTTCCAACTCTGCCTCACAACTGGACATGGCAGTAGATGTCTGAAGTCTGCTGGTTGACTTTACAACCGAACCTTTCCAAACAAACAAACAATCTGTCTGACACTGACTTTTTGGATTCCGTCTCTCCTGACCCCCAGGACGCATCTGTGTACACAAGCACGGAGTTCTCCTCCTTCACCGGAACGTACTCCGCAAAGGTTGGAAATGCGCACCACAAGTGGATTTGGGTCTTCACGTAGCGCATGTACTTCCTGAGAGCTTCTTCATATCCCTGCGTGGGCTGACTTTGTCCTTGGGACAACAAGGAAATGTACCGTGAAGCATCCGGCCTTGACTGCGCCCACCAGCTGAGCCTGCCTAACGTGTTCCGGTATCGAGCGCCGGCTTCTGCAGTGAGTGGCTCATCTGAGGAGTCAATAGCCTTCACGAGATCTGGCGGCACTTGGCTCCCTTTGATACTGTTGAGCCATCCCGAGCCGGTCAACTCTGGCAAGAAGTAATTGGGACGCACACGCGTCAAGACACGGGGATCTCCCTGGGCTCGCACTATGTTCCTACCCAGAAACTTCAACTCACCACCTCCTTCATGGCTGGCCCTGATCAACCCGGTGGATTTTTCCTTCAAAGGGCACAACAGCTTCATGACATTTTCACACTCCTTGCTGTCCCGGGAGGTAACAAGAATGTCATCCACATACACCAGAACATACACGGGAGCACAGGCGTCTGACCCTTTGGCCAAATGCCCTGTGACAACACGGGGGGTGGAGCCCGCCCTGAGTCAAAATAGAAGACACATGTTCCAACCATGCTTGAGGCGCAATGCGTAGGCCGTTGAGAGCCTTCCTCACATCCATGAACACAGGTTCATATGAGTCTCACTATGGCTCTCACTCTACGTGGGAGCGGGCTACATGAACGCAGTGGCACATCCAGTGTGCTAATGGCATGGTTCTCCTTACCTGCAAGGGCAAGGAACGTCCGGAGTGGCTCAGCACTTGGCGTCGAAGAGCTAATCCTGGCAGGTGCCACGACCAACTGCAATTTCCTGTCGAACGCCCTCACTGCCATCTTCCAGCTGCTTTGCACTCATGACCCAACGGCAAGGAATGATTCGAACGCCATACCTGACAGCCCGGCGATTGGCTTCATGGCTATCAAGGAGTTCTCCCATATCCAAATTTGTCATTGATTGGATTTCAACAGCCCTGGCTTTTTCGGCTTTTTCCAAATCAAGCTCAGACGCAAGAGTCTCATCCCAAACTGACACTGGTTTGGAGAGATACACTTTCCTGCCCAGCATCTTCCTTTGGCACGTAAATTGGAAACAGCACTGGCCTCTCCTGAACTGGCACAGGAGCGGCACTCAAGCCTGACAACAAAAAAGGATTCATGTCGACATCCAGAGCTGGCTCAACATCCATTTGATCTCCAAGATCTGCGGCATCCTCCACCTGCATGTCTTGATCCTCCGGTTCACGAACTGCCATCGGAATCGGAACTTCTGGCTGCACTAAGACCGGCTGGTCCACGCCCACCCAAACCAGGAGGCTCAGGCTCAACCTGTTGCTCGTCTCGCCAATTCTGGTAGCGATCTTTGCACGCCCTATTGCGCACCCGGCCGTGAAACGACGGGCCACTGCAACCGTAGCAACCCTCAGTCCGCCCACACCGACGGATCCAGGACGCTGGAGGGCTCACAAGCGCACGATCTCTGCGAGCAATGTCAATATTCTCCTCAACTCGAGGCGGAGGCCCCTCACTTGGTTCCACACGGATGCTATCACTTCCATGCTTACGAAGGCACTCTGGGGCATATGACACTTCATACAAGGTCCTAGTGAGGGGTTTGATTGATTTGGCCATGAAAATCTTCACACCGCTGTCAAGCTTACCAATCACCAAGTGCCCCTTTGCGCCTACGGCCGGTCTGAGATACGCAACTGGCATGAATCGCGACCCTGCCGGAGACTGCACACTGTCTGGAACTTTTGCATGCACCACCGACAAGTAGGCAGCGCCCACACTGTATGGACGGTCAGTCCCTTTCACAATCTGCAGGGGCGCACGATGCCCTCCATGTTGAGTTGCACGTCTGTTGTATGAGGCAGTGATAAACTGCAGAAGTGAATCAATGGACGTCCCTGTCATGACAATGTCAAACCCAACCGCCTGCGTGTCTTGCCTCAAACAACTCATGCTTTCTTTGAGAGTGCGGTTGGTCCTTTCCACTAACCCTACGGTGCGGGGCACTCCTCTCTACAACAATCCGCCGCTTAAGGTCAAGGCTCTGGGACAACGCGCCTACTGCTCTCTCGGCATCTGTGTTCACCAGAATCGGTGTCTCCTCGGCTCCTGACTCACCTGCAAGCCCAAGTCGAAAAAGGCACGCAAGTTGGATTTAATGCGATCTGTGTTTTCCCCGCAGTACACGGCACCGATCATACCACTCACACGCTCCTTCAACGCAAGGAACTTGGCTTGGCTTCCATCATCTGTTTCGATGAAACAGAAATCAGCGAACACCTCAACATGATGCTTTGTGTCGGGAAAAACATCTGGCCTGTGCTGCACAACGGATTTCGAAACACGGCAGGCCTCACACTCCGGATGTCTTGGAAAATGGCCTCTCCTACGGTGCAGCTCCAACTCAACTTGCATGCGCTTTGTCTGTTGCCCATAGTCGGCACTTGGCTGTGGCGAATCTTCTTCCATAACCACATCCGGCACTGGCTCAGGTTGTGGGTCACAAGAGGAACCAGGTTGCTCTTGCAATGGCTGCATGAACATGTTCACATCCATGTCCTGAGGACCATCTGCGAAGCTCACCCTCTTCTTCTTCTTCTTCACTGAGCTCTTCATCCAAGGGCAACCAGCCCACATGGATGCTGCGAGCACCATTTCTGGAGAGCGCGCCTCAAGGCTATCCTCATTCATGACCAAACTCCAACCTTGTCGAACCACTTGCCCAGCACTAATCAAATTGCGCTGCACATCACTCACAACACACCGCAACTGAAAGCTGGTCCACGAAGGCTTACCACTATCGATGAGCCACCAGGCTCCTTCCTCATGATCTGCACTGCTCTGATCCAGCTCAGCAAGCAAGGGACACACACTCTCAGATTGCTTGGGCGTGCGCAAATCTGCCTGCGCATCACTTTCGCAATGGTCCTGAACACAAGGCCGGGTGGGAATGGTGAGCCCACACAATCTATTGGCAGTAACTGTTTCGGCATTGTCATCTTCATGCTCACTCCAAGCATAATCATCGACTGGCTCATCATCTGGAACATCTTCATACCAGTCTGCTTCATCACAATCATCTGC